TGTGGCTGTGTTTGGAATTTTTTTGTTGGCAAAATGAAGCAAAAACAGGCAATATAGTGTCTAAAACGTAAGTCTCATAATATTACCTTCTTGTTTATTGAACTGTTGAATAAAATCACATTTGTAATCATGCTGATTTTAGAGGTGAAAACTGGCACTCTTTGTGTGATATTGACTAACTTTCTCTGGTATTTTTTTTGCACAATGGCGTTTAGTCTTTCACAAAATATAGCTAACGTAGGGACAGTATAACTAGCCACCATATTGATTTACGGCCTTAAATATGTCCAGCGCTTTTGTTTTTTTTTAAGGCTGGTCCCTGTTTTTATACAGTCTATGGTCTGGTCCAGCGTTTATCGTGTTGTGCGTCAGTAATAATGATCCGTGGGGAAACACGGTGTTCCGTGTGTAGTTACAGTAAATGGACTAAACGAAGCCTAGAGGCAAAAAATTTGCCTCGACGATTTTTTGTATTCGAGTTACTTGAGGTATTCAAGGAATCGTTTCAGCCCTAATATAAACTGCGTTGGCATATCAATTGTCTCGAGTTGTTGGCAGTGCGCCTTGCCCTGGGCCGCCTCATAGGGCGCCTTCGGGGCAGGGACGTACTGGTCTGCATGGACAATACTGCGACCGCTGCATATATCAACCGGCAAGGCGGTTTACGCTCCCGTCGCAACTCACCCGCCACCTCCTCCTCTGGAGTCAGAAGCATCTGAGGTCCCTTCGTGCCATCCACATCCCAGGAGAGTTCAATCGGGCAGCCGACGAGCTGTCTCGAGCAGTACTCCCAGGGGAGTGGAGACTCCACCCCCAGGCGGTTCAGCTGATCTGGAGACGGTTCGGAGTTGCTCAGGTAGACCGGTTTGCATCTCTAGAAACCATCCACTGCCAGTGGTTCTACTCCCTAACCAAGGCAACGCTCGGCACAGATGCACTGGCACACAGCTGGCCCCAGGGCCTGCGCAAATATGCGTTCCCCCCAGTGAGCCTGCTCGCACAGACACTGTGCAAGATCAGGGAGGGCGAGGTGCAGGTCTTGTTAGTGGCTCCATATTGGCCCAACAGGACCTGGTGCCCGGAACTCATGCTCCTCGCAACACCCCCTCCCTGGCCGATTCCTCTGAGGAAGGATCTGCTTTCTCAGAGATGGGGATCCTTCTGGTACCCGCCTCCGTTCCTGTGGAAACTCCATGTGTGGTCCCTGGACGGGACGCGGAGGTTCTAGGTGACCTACCCCAGGAGGTAGCTCTCACTATTGCTTCAGCGCGTGCTCCATCCACGACTATCGCTTCAGCACGAGCTCCGTCCACAAGACGGGCCTATGCGCTGAAGTGGAACCTGCTCGTCGAATGGTGTTCCTCTCACCAGGAGGACCCCCGGAGATGTTCGATCAGAGCTGTGCTTTTCTTCCTGCAGCAAGGGTTGGAGTGTAGGCTGTCCCCCTCGACTCTTAAGATTTACGTTGCTGCTATTTCTGCCCATCACGACCCCATAGAGGGGAGGTTGGTGGGGAAGCACGATCTGGTCGTCCGGTTTCTTAGGGGGGCCAGGAGGTTAAATCCTCCTAGGCCTCCCTCCCTACCCTCTTGCGATTTGGCATTGGTGCTAAGAGCCCTACAAACTGCCCCCTTCGAGCCTTTGCAGTCAGTCGAATTGAAGTTTCTTTCTATGAAAACCCTACTCCTGACTGCATTGGCCTCGATCAAGAGGGTGGGGTATCTGCAAGCATTTTCGATCAACGAATCGTGCCTTGAGTTTGGGCCGGCTGATTCCACTGCAACATTGAGACCCCGGCCCGGCTACGTGCCCAAGGTTCCTACCACCCCTTTCAGGGACCAGGTAGTGAACCTGCAAGCACTGCCCCTGGAGGAGGTAGACCCAGCCCTAGCTTTGCTCTGTCCTGTATGCGCACTGCGACATTACGTGGATAGAACTCAGAGCTTTAGGACCTCAGAACAGCTCTTTGTCTGTTACGGTGGACAAAAGAAGGGGAAGGCTGTCTCCAAGCAGAGGATGGCCCACTGGATAGTGGATGCCATCACCTTGGCCTATGAAGCACAAGGTGTGGCACTGGCTCGTGGTGACTCGCTAGCAGACATTTGTAGAGCTGTGGGGCTGGGTGACTCCTAACACGTTCGCTATGTTCTATAACCTACGTGTCGAACCGGTTTCCTCCTGTGTTCTCACCTCAAACTGGTAGTGGCACTGAGAGACCCGGTTCAGAGTTGGCTTGCGGGGTCCTTAGTGCCTAATTCTCCAGAGAGTTCCCTGTCAAGTCTTCCAGCACTCCGGCGGCCAGACATGGCGGAGCGTCCAGCACCAGGCCTTTCAGCCAATGAATTCCTGAAATCTGGTGCGAGGCTAGAGCCCATGTGAGTGACCCTGTTGGGATCCCATATGTGTATTTCCACGGTACAGTTACTAGGGCTGTGTTTCCCCTGGTAGACTACGTTCTGCCGTCTCTAAATGATGCAGCCTGATCGATCTCAGAGACTTAAAAGTCTCTTCCAAGTTCCACTTTCCAAGTGGATAGGGCACACTTTCCCAGTGTTATCCAAGTCCTACTGTTGGGTTGTGAGGAACAGCAGTGGTTGACCTTCTCTGTGTAGAGCCCGGTCCTATCGTCTGCCTTATAGGAAGGGTCTAGGGGCCTACACAGGGCACTGGAGGGGGCAGCACCTGTGGCGTGTTGGTAGGGATCCCAATTCGTCGGTCATCACCGACGTGACATCGAGAGTGACTGACTGAAAAGGAATGTCTCGGTTATGTATGTAACCCTCATTCCCTGAAGGAGGGAATGGAGACGTCACGTCCCGTTGCCACAGTTGCTGTACCACCGCTGAACTGCCGGGTCACCGGCTCGGCTCCTCAGTGAAAAAATGAATTAATGCGGTGCACTTGCTGCCTCTTATATCCGCGCTGCGGGGTGTGGCAGACAGATGCAAAATCCACATGCCAATGTCCATTGGCTCGTTTAGTTACACTCTAAGTGGATTGGTCTCTCTGGCGAGATCCCAATTCGTCGGTCATCACCGATGTGACGTCTCCGTTCCCTCCTTCAGGCAACAAGGGTTACATACATAACCGAGATGTTTCTGGAGACGGGCTCATTCTCTGCCAGCAGGAGGCGCTTTTGGTCATTTACACTCATGAACGCTACTTTATCAGATAAAATGAAAATGCCATGGAAACTTTTCTGAAGACAGTCAGTTCCCTTCAAAGGTACATTCATATTGAACACCTGTGCTGCGTTTTGATTTTGAAACATACATTATTTTTATTCAACGAAGTCAAACTGTCATAGCCTTTTAGTGGCGGGCCGCCACAAATAAATCAGTGTATGGGAAACACTGGTAATGTATATTGAAATATCAGAAATGTGTTTAACATTTATACCACCTTTGTTGAAAAAAAAAATATTGCAATATATATATATTGATATTGAATTATTGTCCAGCCCTAATTTAAAACCTTTACAGAGAAAGCAGATTTCTGTTAATCTAGTTTAAAGGGCCATATCTCTGTCCGGGAAACCGCCCCCCTGTCTCATTGCTCTCAGCGCGCCTTCTTCCAAAAATGAACAGTATCTGAGATGAACCATTTTCTGAGGTGATGTGGGCGTTTACATGTTTTGCGTGTCTCGCCGTGGTCGATTGTCATATCAAAAGCAGAGCCGCTCGTGGGCGTGATCACATTAAAGATAATGAGCTCAGACGAGAAAGACTGGACCCTTGTGTTGGTTTCATACGGATTACTTTATCAGAGAATATTTGTTTTCGATGTGACTTCATTTAAAAGCAGATTTTTCAAGCTTTCTATACATATATTTGTCATGTCTGTGAGGCAAGTATTCGCTGAGATTCAGGTTGTTTTATGTATGTCTGTGATGAAACTTGACTGCAGAGAGTGCACCCTGTTTATTTTCTTTATTTTAGAAATGTTTTGTTATGACTATGCACAAATAAAAGTAGATCCTTTGCCGTTTCAAATGATACTTTATTCTTATCTGTGATCAAAAATAACGGAGTATTTTTAGTTCTTTGTGCGGTCATCAAGAAAAAACATGACAGACCACACCAGTGCGGTCTTTGACCCCAGAGGATTAATAATACTGACAGTTATAAAGTTTCAAGTGGTTTTAGATTTAGTTTGTTGTAATAGAAACAATCTTTAGAGCTGTTGAATAATATAAATGGAGCAGCAAATAGGGGGACAGTTTTTTTCAACAAAATGTATGTTAGATAATTTTGTAGTTGATCAAACATATTGAATAGTTCTCCTTATAGAAACTTGTGATTTGTGTCTGTTTTAAAAATTATATTTTGATATTTTCAGGGAAGAATAGTTTATAAAATTGCATCAAAAGGAACAAATTTTGTATATAAATTGTCTTTACACTGTTACAACAGGGTTCACTTTTATGTACTTTCACATTTCTGTTTTTTTTTTACAGTTACTGACAAATGAACTGCTTTTGCTTTTATTTTAGAGTTTATTGAAGAAAGTGAGGAGAACGAAGAATTGAGGGAAGTTGAGGAGAAAAATCATTTTAAAAATGGAGAAAAACCTTTGAGTTGCTCTCAAACCAAACAGAAAGATTTAAAGAAAAGAAGAGCCAAGAAATCTTTCACCTGCACTCAGTGTGGAAAGAGTTTGACATGCAAATATAATCTTGATGTTCACATGAGAGTTCACACTGGAGAGAAACGGTTCACTTGTGATCAGTGCTGGAAGAGTTTCACACAATCATCACAACTTAAGGTAAACCTGAAAATCCACACTGGAGAGAAACCGCACACGTGTGATCAGTGCGGGAAGAGTTTCACACAAAAAGGAAGCCTTATGGCACATATGAGAGTTCATACTGGAGAGAAACCAATCACATGTAATCAATGTGGAAAAAGTTTCGCACACTTAGCAAACCTTAAGGTACACATGAACATCCACACTGGAGAGAAACCTTATAAGTGTTCACACTGCAACAAGAGATTTAATAAGTCAGGAGACCTGAAAAGACATGAGAGGATCCACACTGGAGAGAAACCTTATAAGTGTCCACACTGCAACAAGAGATTCAGTCAGTCAGGAGACCTAAAAAGACATGACAGGATCCACACTGGAGTGAAACCTTATAAGTGTTCACACTGTGACAAAAGATTCAGTCAGTCAGTACATTTGAAAATACACAATAGGATCCACACTGGAGAGAAACCTTATAAGTGTTCACACTGTGAAAAGAAATTCAGTCGGTCAACACATCTGAAAACACATGAGATGATCCACACTGGGGAAAAACCTTACAAGTGTTCACACTGTGACAAGACATTCAATAGGTCAGCAGACCTGAAAACACATGAGAGGATCCACACTGGAGTGAAACCTTATAAGTGTTCACACTGTGACAAGAGATTCAGTCAGTCAGGATACCTGAAAACACATGAGAGGATCCACACTGGAGAGAAACCGCACACATGTGATCAGTGCGGGAAGTGTTTCACACAATCAGCACAACTTAAAGAACACATGAACATCCACACTGGAGAGAAACTGTACTCATGTGATCAATCTGATAAAACATTTTTGAGAGCTTCAGTCCTGAAGAAACACCTGACAGGTTATACAAAGGAGAAGCCGTATTCGTGTTATTTGTGTGGAAAGAGTTTTTCACGTTTTTCAATTTTGAAAGAACATCAGAAAACACATACTGGTGTGAGAGAGTACATGTGCTTTGAGTGTGAAAAGACTTTTACTTCAGCGACCTGTTTAAAACTGCATGAGAGGATTCATACTGGGGAAAAACCTTATAAGTGTCCACACTGTGACAAGAGATTCAATCATTCAACACATCTGAAAACACATGAGAGGATCCACACTGGAGAGAAACCTTATAAGTGTCCACACTGCAACAAGAGATTCAGTCAGTCAGGAGACCTAAAAAGACATGACAGGATCCACACTGGAGTGAAACCTTATAAGTGTTCACACTGTGACAAAAGATTCAGTCAGTCAGTACATTTGAAAATACACAATAGGATCCACACTGGAGAAAAACCTTATAAGTGTTCACACTGTGAAAAGAGATACAGTCAGTCAACACATCTGAAAACACATGAGATGATCCACACTGGGCAAAAACCTTACAAGTGTTCACACTGTGACAAGATATTCAATAGGTCAGCAGACCTGAAAACACATGAGAGGATCCACACTGGAGTGAAACCTTATAAGTGTTCACACTGTGACAAGAGATTCAGTCAGTCAACACATCTGAAAACACATGAGATGATCCACACTGGAGAGAAACCTTATAAGTGTTCACACTGCAACAAGAGATTTAATAAGTCAGGAGACCTGAAAAGACATGAGAGGATCCACACTGGAGAGAAACCTTATATGTGTTCACACTGTGACAAGAGATTCTGTAATTCATCAAATATGAAAACACACGAGAGGATTCACACTGGAGAGAAACTGTATCACTGCACTGCATGTGGGAAGTGTTTCAATCATTCATCTGCTCTACACAGACATACAAAAAACAATCACAGTAAGGCCCCGTACACACAGAGACGCATTTAGTTGTATACGTAAACATTTTGTATTGTATCAGCGTTTCGTCCAGACGGATCCAAAGTTTTGGGAGCCTGAAACCACTATTTTTTTAAACCGGGTCCCAGAGTGTATAAATCTGAAAACAACACCTTTGCGTTTTGGTATGTACAGCCAATCCGTATATTTTTTTAAACGATGAAGTCATCACCCCACGTCTTTACCCTAGTCAGACACCGCTACGGCCCATAACAGCAACAACAAAGGTACAAGCTACATGCTTGTTGTTCATGCTGCTGAAGCCTATTAGCGTTACTAACTTTACTAGCTTTTCTTGTTATTGTGTTGGGTTTGTATACAGCGTGCAAGGTTTATGCGCATGCTCCAAGTCTTCTTCTCTGTTTTTAGTGCATCTTTGTGGCAGAATTACAGCGCCACATACTGGTCTGGCAAGTATATGTATACCCATCCCTACTTGTAAGCAAGTAGGAGAGAGATCCATCTCATTAGTTTTCACTTTTACTTTCAGTAATTATTGATCATTTTTGCTTTGAGTAATTATTAAATGTTACCTTTTTATTAATACATTATCTTACTTTTTATTTTTGTCAACAACTTTTATGGTCTGCTGATTGTATTTGCACAAGGATTTTTTTATATATATAATTTTAGTTTTAATAGTTGAAATCCATGATGTTTTGGCCTTTGTTTTATATGTCTAAATAAAGTTTTTAAATTGAATTGAACTGAAAGCCTTTATTGTCATTGTATTTTTCTGCATACAATGAAACTAGGGGCATTGCTCCTGACTGGTGTTAGAAAATAAACATGTAACCAGAGACAAAACATGAGAGTATAGACTGTACAGTATAGTTATATACAACAAGTGACTGATATGTGAATAATGTACATTGAGTAATCTGGTTAAAGTGAGCATCAGTGCCAGACTGTAGGGTTGTGGGGCCCTAGGCAAGATAATGAAAATGGGCCCCACTAGTGTAAAAACTGTCATATAAATTTGATGAATGAAGAGAAAGCACATTAAATGACCATTTCAATATTTAAGTGTAAAAGTGTATTAATTGGAACACATTCAATAACATATGTATAAATATTTAAACAAATTTTAAAAAAGGAGCGCAAGTGAGCTTGAGTAAATAGATACAAATGAAACAAATAAAATATAAATGAAGTATACATAAAAACGAAATAAAATAAACATAGTAATATTCATAAATGACAAGAAATGCAGTCTATTCTTGTTTAGAATAGAAAAATTCTAAACAAAAAAGGACTTTATTGTGCTAACCATCGGATCTAATTATTTAACATAACATGCTAAATGTGGCTCAATTTTCCCTCATATGACAAGTCTGTGATCATGGACATCATTACATTTATAAAACAAGTACTAATACTACAGCAATAAATATGTATATGGCCATCAAAACGTTTTTTTCAGCTCAGGAAAGATACAGTTTGGATTCAATTTCTATCACAACTTCACTTCAAATCTCTCTGATTCTTTCATTTCAAATAAATTAAAAATATCATCAATGTGTAACGAGACTTCATGAAGTTACGAGAGACTCTTCTGAGAGGTAATATTAAGTGAATTCCAAAATCTGAACCGTAACAAGTTTGTTATGCCTGTTTGTAGGGCTGCACAATTTGGTCAAAAATGTTATATATATATCAATATGATTAATTATAATTATTGGTATTACTAAATAAAAACATTAAACAAAATAATTATTGATAATGATTATCATGAACATATTTTACAGGAAACTGCAGCATGACCTGTTAACATGCAGGAGGCCTATAAATATAAATGTTTTGAAAGGTCTAAATATTTATTATAAAATAAATTGATTAAAAATCTTTGACAAAAAAAATTAATAAATATATATATATATATATATATATATATACACACATGGGTGGTCTCAGGATGCTTCACTGTTGGCACAACACAGGACTCATGGTAGCGTTCACCTTTTATTCTCCGAACAATTGATTTTCCAGATGTCCCAAACAGTCGGAAGGGAGCTTCATCAGAGAAAATAACTTTGCACCAGTCTTCTGCTGTGCAATCCTTGTACTTCCTGCAGAGTTTCAGTCTGTCCTTGACGTTTTTCTTGGAGAGAAGTGGCTTCTTTGCTGTCCTTCTTGACACCAGGCCGTTGTCCAAAAGTCTTGGCCTCACTGTGTGTGCAGATGCTCTCACACCAACCTGCTGCCATTCCTGAGCAAGCTCTGCACTACTGGTGACACGATACGATTCCGTAGCTGACTCCTCAGGAGGAGACGGTCCTGGCACTTGCTGGACACTCTGGTACGCCCTGAAGACTTCTTCACTGCAGTTGATCCTCTCTTCTTGAAATTCTTGATGATCCGGTAAATGGTTCTTTCAGGTGCAATATTATTTGTAGCAATTTCCTTGCATGTGAGGCCATTTTGTTGCAAATCGATGATGGCTGCACGTGTTTCTTTGGAGTTAACCATTGCTAACAAGAACGCAATGATTGGAATCGGTTCTTCCCTCATTTTATAGCACTCAGTCTGCTCTTAAAATCTAATTAGTATGATAGTGATTTTACCTGACTAGTACTCATTCACATTTTCACATGTGCCGCTGATATGATTAGTCAATTAATGTTAGCTGGTCATTTTGTGTCAGGATAAAAAAAACAGTGAAATTTGTTTTGTTTTTGTTTTTTTTTGCTTTTTGTGAAAAGTTAATTTTTTGGCCAATGAAGCTTTTAGCAATGATTTAAAATCCATCTGATCACTCTACACAATCATCTAGAAACAATGTGAATGAAAACCACAACAGCTTAAGCAGCAAACTTTGCAAAACACAAAATTTATGTCACTGCCAAAACTTTTGGCCATGACTGTTCACATGTGCTGCTGATATGATTAGTCAATTAATGTTAGCTGGTCATTATGTGTCAGGATCAAAAAACAGTGACATTTGTTTTGTTTTTTTGTGAAAAGTTAATTATTTTTGCCAATTAAGCTTTTAGCAATTATTTAAAATGCATCTGATCACTCTACACAATAATCTGGAAACAATGTGAATGAACACCACAACAGCTTATAGAGAGAAACAAAACTCCTATACACTGGAGAGAAACTTAGAGAGAAGTATTATTATTCCTATTTTTACCCAAAAGAAGGTGTTTAAATAACTGATTGATAGTTTATTTGGTAAAAAATTAGTTTATCCTGAAAGCACTCTGTTAAATTGCTGATATATCGTATGTAACACAAAGAAAAAAATATAAACCCTGGCTTTCACATGACAGTGAGAACAGTGTCAATTGATATGTTCTTTGATACTCTTTAAACCACAGGTTACCCAATTGACCACAGAAAAATGCAGTTCATCCCACCCCTCCAGGGGGGTATTCCAGAAAGCAGGTTATGTGACATACACGGGTATGTTAAGTAAGTGCATGAACTCAGCATTCGGTTCCAAAAACGGAGTTAACTTTCACTGTATGTAAGTAGCCATTGCAACTTGCTCTCTGAACATAATTTGCTCCGGAGTAGGTTCTGTTTCAGGGTTATTTTACTTCAGAGCTATCAGTGCATGTGTGCATGACCTACTGAAGAGACTCCAGTGGGTGTGACAGATTAATGCAATCAGGAAAAAAAATAACCTGAGAGTATGTAAGCTTCAAAGAGGCATCACTGACGTGTTTCCAAATCGTTCTGAATTTCTGGATATGAACTGTATGGGAGTGGACTTCATGCTTAACACCATTACCAGTCACCTCACCTTACTGAATGAACATTTCAGTCACTAGGCCTACTTTTTTGACATGGAGAAATATGACTGGTTCGAGATCCCTTTTCTTGTGATGGCCAGTGGCCTCAGCGGAAAGGCTGAAGATGAATTTTTGAAATTATCCAGTGATCGCACTCTCAGGATGAGATTTAATCAGCAGGGCCCAGCAGAATGTTGGCCCATGGTTGAAAAGGAGTACAAGGAGGTTCCTCTTCAGACCATGAGAATATTGTTGCCTTTCCCAACAACATATCTTTTCGAGACATCTTTCTCAGTCCACAATGGCAATAAAGACAAAATACAGGGCACAGCTTAATTTGGAAGATGACTTGAGAGCTTGCCTGTCCCCAATAACACCCAGAATTGATAAGCTCTGCAAAGAAAGACAGTCTCTCCCTTCCCACTAAGGCAGGCTGTGTGCATTTGTACAGTGGCTGTCGTTAAATTGATGTTTCTGCATTGCATGATTTCTTTTAAATTATATTGTAAAACGATTTATTTTTGAGTATTCATTTTTGTATGTTTCATGCATAAAAAAAGATTGCTGAAACAATTCAGATTTCTGTTCAAATCGCAAACCAAACTGCTGAACCATTGTCATTTTACTACATCAAAATGTATGAGGTTTAATGCTCACTTGACTCTGATTGCTCAATGTGCAATATTATGGGGCCACATACTTAGGTTCAAGATGGCGCCGAGCATGGCAGCCGTGTTGCGAGCGCCGAGAACACTCTGCAGTTTTTCGTTTGTTTAAAGAGGTGAGTGCAGTCTCCGTCTCTGTCGCGGATGTAACCCGATCATTTCGACGGGTGAATATCCGCAAGGCTGCGGGTCCTGATGGCATCCCAGGCCGTGTGCTCCGAGCATGCGCATTCCAACTAGCCGGTGTTTTCACAGACATTTTCAACCGACTCAGTCACTTGCTGTATATACTTTTATAATTATAGTGTACAGTCTATAGTTTCATGTATTGTCTGTGGTTATATGTTTGTTTTCTAACACCGGTCAGGAGCAGTGCTCCTAATTTCATTATATGCAAAAAAAATTAAAAATAATAATACAATTACAATAAAGGTCTTCAATTCAATTCAATTCAAAAGGTTTATTGAGAAATTTTAAAACAGAAAGCCCAAAAAGCACACATAACACTACATGGCTTTCAGACATTAAAACTAAAAATATAAAATTACTTTTTCCTTATTCAAATACAACCAGCAGACAATAAAAGTTGTTGATAAAATATACAGGTGCATCTCAATAAATTAGAATGTCGTGGAAAAGTTCATTTATTTCAGTAATTCAAC